CTGGGGTGAGTGACAGGGGTTTTGTGCTTCAAAATATGTTCCCAGGGTTGTGTGTTCATGTGTAGTATTTTTTTTTTAATTTTATACCAAATAGCACTTTTATTACTTTCATTTTTGAAGAGTCCCCCAAATTATATTCACTTAAATAAAACATTAGTTTCTTTTTAAATAATGAACTATGGGAAAGGCAGTAGTGTTTATACAGATGAATTATATGTTAGTTAAGAAAATAAATATTCTGTTTTTGTGAAGATAAATGATAAGAATAATAAAAAATAAATTCTGTTTAATTCTCAGATATATACAATTTCACTTTTGAAAGGGTCCATTAATGTCACAGTTTCACCCTAATTATTCTTTTAATTTTCAAGAAATCACCTCTAGAATTACCTTAAAACACATTATTAGTTATTTAAATGTATCACCTGACTCTTCTGAAAGCTATCCTATTTTCTGAAAAGTATGTGAAATTTTCCATGACAAAAACATGAACTATTCTTACTTTGCAAACAAGCAGTCACGAAGCTCTTCTATCTCACAATCGTTATACATTCTTGAAACAAAACATTGCATACCTAAAAAGTGAATTGTCGGCAAAAATGAAAACTGATAGAATTATATGAGAAATGACTGGATGACATCTGCCAGTGGGTTGCTACAGGTTTGATTTTTTTTTTTAAAGGCAAACTGGTTTTCACAGGATGACTCATTCAAACTGGCACCACAAACGGTTTACATCCAGTTTCTAGAACAGTAGGGTAGGGCTTCACATAGGGAAGTAAGGCAGCAGCTATGTGGCTGAGTGCTCAGTCCTGACACTGGGCTGCAGAGATGCTGGGCGGTTAAGATCATGCACTGTTCTTCCAGAGGACCCAGGTTCTGATCTCAGCACCTGTGTCAGGCCGCTCACAACCAATTGTAACTCCAGCTCTGGGGATCCAGTGCCCTCTTCTGGCTTATTTAGGTACTATACACACATGTAATTTAAAATAAAAATAAACCTTAAAAATCAATAAATAAAATTGTACTTCCATCCTACTTAAGATACTGATACTCAATATAAAGCAAAGTGGTTTTAAAAAGTATCTAATAGACCATCTCCCTTTCAGAGGTTCCTTGGGAGTGACAATGTACTTTATATTATTTCATTTGACTTCTGTTTATCCCTGCTATTCCTTTATATGCTTTTCAGATTAATAGCTCTCTAGATTTATTTCCTTGGACTGATAAATACAGTAATTACGGCAACCATATTGTCAGTAGCCTGTCTAACCACAGAACTTCTGGTTGTATGTGGTTAGGAAATAACGGCTCCTTCATAAACACACCGAAAAGACGCCCATCTCTTAAACTTGCTTCCTTGCTTCTCACCAAAATGCATTGGTATCACTGTCTCCCTGAAACAGAATATTCATTTGTGAAATACAGCGTCCAGAAGAAGAGCACAGTCATGTTCTGTCTTTTAGACGGCTTGCATTTACCAGTTTTAGATTTTCTGTGTCCCCATATGTCACAAAAACGCAGAGATCTTGGGGAAGAGAGACAGCTCAATGGTTAAGAACACTTGCTGCTCTTTCAGAGGACCCAGGTTTGGTTCCCAGCACCCAAATTGGGTGGCTCACAACTTGTAACTTCAGCTCCAGGGGATATGACATCCTCTTCTTCGCCTCTTTGGGCACCTGCACCCTTCCCACATACACACATAACCAAAACTGAAATAGACAAATTGAATGTCGCAAATTGAATCCATGTTAGGTGCCAGGAACTGAAACCAAGGGCGGGCTTTCCAAAGTATTCTACTGGGGACTTTTGCTCACATTAAAATGTCTCATTGGCAGCTGGAAGCTTGTAATTGGGTGAGGGTGTGGAATCATCGCAATGCTTTGTAATTTATGTAACTAGGTCCCAGAATAGCCTAAAATCTGCTGACTTGTATAATATATACATATTACATTGGAATACGCTTGGTTAATAGGTGTGTGTTTCTTCCTTTCCTAGAAAGGATGATGTTGGTCACATCATAGTGACCTGATCTTTCGTCTGGAAAATGGGATATTATGCAAAGACAGGGCAAGCTTCACCTCATGACCTTTTATCTTGTTTGCTAATGCTACCAGGTGGAAGCTGGAAGGTCTGGCCTAACTGTGCGCAAGTGCAGGCCACCTGACCTGTCAGGCTTTCTTGTGAATGCAACAGTTTGGAGAGAATCTGAGTGGCCTGTGTGAGCAGGACTCAGGCAGGATTGTGGCTGCTGCTGCTGCTTTTACTGGCAAATGGTGGCCATGTGCCAAGCCTCCTGGACTCACACAGCTGTTTGTGGTGATTCATTTCCCCTCATTTCCCAGCTGACCCATTCAGCGGGTGATCGCTAGCCTTCTGCTGCACCGAGTCTCCCTTCTCAATCGTGGGAGCATTTTAGAGGCTCTGGTCTTCAGAGTGGAGGTGTTCCCACCGCCAGAGTGTCAGCAGACAGGAGACACTGAGGAGAAGTAGTGAAATGGTGATTTGATGGCCAGGCACTGGTGGCGTGGGGTCATTGTCTGCCACCGTCTCCTGCTTTCTCTCAAACCACCTCTGCCATTAGCCTGGCATTCTAGCTGTGTTGACAGGATCTTAAGTGGCTACCACAGCTGTCCCCCTAGCTGGAACTCACTTCTGTGTTCAAGAAATTCCTGCTGTCTCCAGGGAGATAAGAGGAAAGCAATAGGTCCCCCAGAGCGGGACTACAGGTAGCTGTGAGCTCTCCCACACGGGTGCTGGCAATAGAACTCTGGTCAGAGCTCTGGAAGAGCCACAGATGCTCACAACCACTGAGCCTTCTCTCCAGCTCTCATCAGAGTCTCTTTTCATAGAAATGCATATGGTGACGTTGGGGCAGCCACTCAGCTGGCGAAGTGCTTGCCCTCTAGTGTGAGGACCTGAATTTGATCCCTAGAGTCTATGTAAAAAGATGGACGCGGTAGCCATGCTTGTCATCCTAGTGCTCAGGAAGTAGGGACAGGAGGAATCCCTGGGACTCTTGGAGGGTCAGACTAATCTAAAGAGCAAGGCCACAGTTCCCAGTGAGGGACCTTGTCTCAAAAACTAAAATGAAGAATTGAAGAAGATACCTGATATTGACCACTGGTACCCCTCCTCACAAACACATATGTGAACACCTACATATAAATATCGCACAAACACACACAAAAGAAATGCATATCCCATGGCTTGAAAATAATACATATAAAATAAACATCTTAGATTATATTTTTCTCTGCCACTGTTGACCTTGTGATTTTGGAACATCACTCAGTATTATATATAAAAATGACTGGCTCTAAATAGTGGAGAATAGCCATGGGCTTTCAAATCCAAAATAGCATGTGTACTGGCTAGTTTTATGTCAACCCCACCCAAGCTAGAGTCATTTGGGAAGAGGAAACCTCAATTAAGAAAATGCCCCCATTAGATTGGCCTGTAGACAAGACCGTGCATTTTCTTAATTAATAAATGGTATGGGAGGGCACAGCTCACTGTGGGATATGCTACCTGGTCTGGTGACCCTGAGTTTTACAAGAAACTAGGCTGAGCAAGCAATGAGCAAGCAAGCCAGTAAACTGCTTTCCTCCATGGCCTTTGCATGCACTCCCGCCTCCAGGTTCCCGCTCTGCTTGAGTTCCTGTCCTGACTTCCCAGTGATAGATTGTAATCTGTGAGGTGAAATAAAGCCTTTCCTTTCCAGGTTGCTTTTGTTCATGGAGTTTCATCACAGCAGTAAAAAATCTAATTAAGACAGTATATTTACAATTAAATCCATCCTTTGTGTGCAACAAATGAGATAGTTAAAGAGTATATTTTCTATTTCTTATGTATGCATTTTCTGTTGTGGGATTTTTTATGTAGAGAAAGGAAAGGAGAAATGCAGAAAGCAAGAGGTGCTGAAAACAAGCATCAACTGTTTGAGCCATAAGAGTTAATAGTAAATCAAACCAATGAGAAGAAAAAGGCAATCGAATTCTAGATTTAATTGCCCATTCAGTTTAGCCAAATACCAGTTGACCCCATGTGTAGAGACATAGAAGACCATCTGCCAGGAGGTCTGTTGGGCTCTCTGCTTGCCAGAATCGTATTCGCTGGAGGACAGAAAACCCCACAAATCTAAATCAGGATGCTAAGGTCTAGTGTGCGAGAGCTTTCTACTGCTTGTGGCAATAAATGAATGATACCCCTGCAAAAGGAATGGGTTAAACCAAATATGAGAAAAGGCATAGCTACACAAGGTAGCCATTAAAAATGACAGGGTGTAAAAAATGCATCCAGATAGAGAGCTGCCCAGGACATGTTAGATGGAAAATTAAAGTCAACATGAATATAGCTGATGGGATCTTATTTGCATAGGATAACATATGATGAGTGTATACTCATAGGTAAATCTCTCTCTCTCTGTCAAACACACACACACACACACACACACACACACACACACACACACACACACACACACCTACCTTTAAAGGCATGCCTTGGGAAAATTGGCTTTGTTTGGTATAATGTTGAATGATTTTAATTGTATTCCTATGTATGTTCTTATTTTTTACATTTTCATATGAGAACCATTACTGTTTGTGAACAATGTAAGCAATAAACAAGTACAGAAAGCAACCAATTACTCTGTCTTTAAGCCCTGAAGACAGAGGTCTTTAAAGTTTTCTGAATTCAAAGTTTCACCCCAAGAGCTGATTAGCCCTTTCTTGCAGGAGAGTGACCTGACAGCCCAGGTACCGAAGCCCATCTGTCCTGGTTGTGTGACAAAGGTCTCTTACCTGGAGTGCTGGCCAAATAGTTCCCAACACTCACCCACATGCAACTCCTGGGACAGCCAGTGAGCATTTGTTAAACACCCAACGTGCATCCTCGTTATATCCCTTTATGTCTCATGAATAACTACCATAGAGTTTTGATACAATAAGGACAATATATCATACAATAATCATTTGAGAAGGAAAGGCTGGCTTTGGACTAGGCAATAGGAGAGAGAGGGGCTCCTTGGATTTCTTCCCTGCATTTTCGTTATCAAACATCAGCAGAGAAGCAGAAAAGCAGTGAGCTCAGCTTCCAGAGACTCTGACTACATCCAGGCTCTCCTCCATCAAAATCCAGTGTGAGAACATTCCTCTGTATGCCGCCACAAAACAAACAGGACTGACACAACACCAAGTGGACAGTCCTTTTTCTTCTGTCTTAAAAGGGAACCAAAAGAAGACAACGGATTTTCATCAAACAGGCCACTACCTTGAGCTTACTGATAAAAATGTGGTACAGGTCAGTCCATTTTTACTCCTTTCTTTTGTCCTCTCTTTTTCTCCACTCCCCTCTCTCTCTCCCTCCCCCCTCTCTTTCCCCCTCTCATTCTCCACCTTTAACTCCCCCTCCCCTTTCTCATTCAAGGCATGGTCTCTCGTGTTGACCAGGATGGCCTCAAATACACAGCCTGCAATCATATATCTCTTGCCCTAGCCTTCTGATTTTTGCACAGTGCCTAAGAAACGTAGTATTTCTGACATACTGATTTGGGACTATTTTTTCCAGTGTCTGAGTTTACAACCTTGGTATATGATTTATGTTCATTTTTGATGCAGTTTTCCACTTTAATGCTACATTTTTTACATGTTGACAGCTGCATCAGGCACAATATGACTATGAACTTGTTGCCGAGGTCTGACCTCATGTTCCTCCCTTTCTTCCTCTGGCTGAAAAACAATTGTATTATTATCTTCCATTCAAGAATGATTTCAAAAACAATAACACAGCAGGCACCATGAGTTTTTAAAACTGATAAGCTGTTAGTTCTATCTTTAAAATTGCAAAAGGAACTGAGGAACTGTGTACTTCTCTTACACAAGTAATACAGGTTTATTACTGGATTTAAAAAAAAAAATTCCAAAAGTTATAAAGAGAACAAAATGAACCATAACCCTAAGTACTATGAACATTTTGGGGAAAAAAAGAGATATATTGTATTTACATATATAGGCATAAATAAAATCAAATAAGACACATCGTTTTATAAACTACATGCTTCACACACTTTAAGAAAGATATTTTTATGAGCTGGTGATATGACTCAGTAGTGAAGAGTGCTTGCTGCTCTTCCAGTAGACTAGAGTAGCACTCCCAACACCCACATCTACTGGGCTGCTCACAACTGCTGTAACTCCAGCTCTAGGAGATCTGATGCCCCCTCTGGTTTCTACAGGTACCTGCATACATATGCATGCACCCTCACACATGTGTACACATGATTAAAAATAAAATGAATCTTTTAAATATTATTATTATTTGTGGGGTGTATCACGTGCACACACACCTGTACATCAGAGGACAACTTCATGGAGTCACTTTTCTCCTTCTACCTTTCTGTGTATCCAGAGATCAAACGCAGGTCATCAGCCTTGTGTGGCATGTGTTTTTACCTGAAGAATTCTACACATTAAATTTCCTACTATATTAAGATTAATTTAATTCTTGAATGAAGAAGTGTGATGTTTCTTACAAACATGAATTATTTAACAGCTGCAAACTATGATGCATTGCTGTCCTTGTTTAAAAGAAGATTTTGCTTATTTGTTTGTTCATTTATTTATTTACCTACCTACTTACTTACTTACTTACTTACTTACTTACTTACTTACTTACTGAGACAGGCTCTCATGGTGTAGCCCTGGCTGGCCTCACTATGTAGAGCAGGCTGGCTTCATTCACAGAGATCTGCCACATCTGCCTCTCAAGCGACTGGATTTAGAAGGTATGCACCATCACCCTAGATATATACTTTTTTAATTATGCATATGTGTATGTATATATGCCCATTTGTGCACATCAGTGAAGTGCCTGCAGAAGCCAGGTTCCCTGGAGCTGGGGTTGAATACAGGTGGCTGTGAGCTGCCCGATATGAGTGCTGTGAACCAAACTTGGGTCATCAGCAAGGGCAGTAAGTGTTCTTAACTCCCACTTCTGAATTACTGTTCTTGCTCTGATAAAATGAACTCAAGGAAGGAAGGGTTTATTTTGGCTCACCAAGGAAAGCATGGCCACAGAAGCTTGAGGCAGTTGGTTGCTTTGCATCCAGTCAGGTAGCAGAGAAAGACGAATTTGGCTCACCTCAGTTTCTCCTTTTTATTCAGTCTAGGTTCCCAACCCATTGGATAGTGCCACCCATACTCATGGTGGGTCTTTCCTACTCAGCTAAACCTCTTGGGAACTCCCTCATAGACATGCCTAGAGGAGCGTCTCCTAGGTGACTCCAAACTAGGTCAAGTTTACAGTCAAAATCTTCCATCACACATGTGGATTACAAAGTATGTGCCTTTCTTTCTGCCCCACACTGCTTTGTAGCCTCTGCACTACCTGACACAACGTCCTTCAAGTATTGGCCACTGCAAGTTGTGGAATTTTTAAAACAGAACTAAGAGGAGTTTTGCTATTGCAGTGAGCAAAACCATAGGGAGAGAAAGGCATGCTACAAGCCCAGGATTTGCATCTGGCAGTGACAGAACAGTGATGTCTGGTCTGTGTGTAGAAAATTCACAGTGCAGAGCTTGACAGGGGTGGTGGAAGGAGACAAGGGGAGCCATGATACTAAGAAGTCACATCACAAGGGGTGGGGAGCAGTCTTGTGAGGTTCAGTAGAGCTTAGGGAGGAACACACTGGGAATCCATCGGATCTTAGAACGTTAGAACGTTTTTAAAAGTTGGGCTAAGATTGTGCCAACAGAGGGGAGTGCTGGTCAGAAGAATCATAAGCCATGGTTACCTTTTTAGAGCTTTATTGGGAGAGAGGGGGAGGGGGGAGAGAGAGAGGACAGACAGAAGGAAAGAAAGAGAAAGGGGGCGCGCAGAGGGCCCACTCGCTTTTTAGGCTGGGATGTTGTCACAGGCTGGTGACATAATTAAGGACCGAATCCTTACAAAAATCTCATGAGTAATCTTTGGTTTAAAAGAGCCTAATTGTCCTTTTTAGGGCAGTGAATTTAATTATTTGTTTGTTATTTAGGGTCCCATGTAGGTTGAGCTGGCCTTGACCTCGCTATATAGTAGAGTATTACTTTGGATTTCTGACCCTCATGCTGTCACCTCCTCCACCCCTTCTGGCTCCTCCATCTCCTGGGTTCTAGGATTACAGGCATGTGCCACTGTGTCAGGTTTATGTGGTGCTAGGAAACACTGTCCCCACTGATCTGCAACTGTCGCCTCTTAGGACAGTGATTCTTAGAGGGTCAGCCCAGAGCTGCAAACGTCAGCATCCTCTTGGGAGTTCCTCTGCTCTGTGAATTCCCAGGGCACATACAGACCAGAAATACACTAAGTCAGAAACACAGCAGTCTGGTTTCAATAAGCCTCCAGGTGATGGTGATTGGCATGCACACTCATGGACCAGTGGAAGAGGAGGGAAGGAGGAGGAGGGACGCATGCCTTTCCCGTGAGTCACCTGATGCAACTTGGATTTATTGCCTTCAGGTGTTTTAAGTCAAGGGTAATTCAGCCAGCGGCATGTTAACACATTGCCCACAGCATAAAGAAAGAGTAAAATTTATTCCTTCACCCAAAGCTCATACTAAAGTGCCCCCCCCCTCTTTGCTGCATTCCACACAAGTGATACAAAACATATGCTGACCTCAACTATTTTCCAGAGAAGTTAAATAGGGGAAGACAACAAAGCCACAGGCACCTCCTATCCCTAGATGCCACGATTTCTAACCGGCTGAGCATTTGAGCTCTGCTACTTCTACTCTGGAGGGATCTGATGTCTTCGTGCCAGCGTTGCACTGAGAAACGTTCGCTCTGCTTCGGATTTGTGCAGGGCTGCTGCTGAGAGTGTTCTGGATGGAGCACGCATGAGATGCTGGCGAGAGTCTCACACACACAGGAATGCTGGCGCCAGGTCATGCGGGCCAGGCTTGGCAGGAGACCTTTCTTTAGGTTCTGCTGAATTAGTTACTTTTCTTACTGTGGTCCAAAACAGGACAAAAAGCAGCTTAAAGGAGAAACAGCTTATTTTGCTTGGTGCCTTAAGGAGGGAAATGGTCCCTCCAAGTGGGGAAGGGAGCACAAGTTAGCCCATCCCTCCACCAGCCTGCAGTTAGGGAGCGGAAAATGAACTGGGGCAGGAAGTGCTTTCCTAAAACCTCAAGGCCCGCCTCCAGTAACCCACTTCCTCCAGTGAGGCTCTACAAACTTCCCAAACAGCGCCACCAGCTGGGGCCAAGTGTACAAACACACAAAGCCTTTCTGAGCCATGTCTCATTCAAACCAATCTGCCTCTAGTCTCTGAATGTGCTCAAATGTGTGAGTCTACTGCAGGAGCCTGAGAGTCCCCGTCCTGCTCTGAGAAGCCGCGCTGTGCAGTAGGGCTAAGCCCGATCCTCTACTGCCCCAGAGAGATTCACTCAACGCTTTGGTCTCAGTAAAACCGCAATCCCCGTGATCCTGCTTTTCCAACACATTATTTTGTTTCATAGACTAGTTATGAATACAATCACACACCCCTAGTACCTGAAGGAAAGCATAGGCCATAAAGAACTTCTCTTATTTTCTTTGCTGAGAAATACCACCCATGTTCCCTCGATCCCCTCCAGAGGCTGGCCACATGTTCCTTACTGGCCATCTGGAACAGAGGAAAACTTCAGACTGTGGCTAAGTCAGCCACAGGGAAGGTCCAAGCATGGTGTTAGACAGCCAAAGCAGAAGCCAAGGGGTTACCTGAGAATCAGTTCCGAGGCTCGGAGCAGACCACCCATCTCTCCCTACACGTGGTGCTGTGAGTATCACCTCACTCTGTAAATTACTTCCACTATTACAGCTATTGTGGGCAGTTTGTAGGATGAGTTACATTATAGACCGAGACCAAGGGCTGTGAACTTCAGTGTTACGTTAGTTTTCTATTGCTGTCAAACAAAGCAAAACAAACAAAGAAAAGAAGAGTAAGGTGGCTCAGTGGATAACGGCGCTTAGTGCCAAGACTAACAACCTAAGCTGTGTCCCCCAAACTCACACAGTGGGTGAAAACCCAACTCCTAAGTTGCCTTCTGACCTCCATATGCATTCTATGAAATGTACAAGCAAGCACACGCATGTGTGAGCAAGCATGTACACACACACACACACACACACACACAATCAATCAATCAATCAATCAATCAATCAATCAATCTGAAATCCTATAGATAAGCAAGAGTCAGCC